ATAAATGTTAAATGAATCAATTTGAATGCATGAAAATGGATTTTCCAAAAGTCAAAATCGTCCCCCGGGCCCACATTGTCAAAACCTGAGGTTCGAATCAAAACCCGCTCACCCATTCCCCACGAACTCAAATATATAATTTGTTTTGAAATCGAACCTTATATAGAGGTCCAAATCCCAATTTGAAAAACCTAGGTTCTACCCAAAACACCCAATTTCCCCCATGAAAATCATTGATTTGAAGTTGAAATCATGTTAAAAGATGTTAATGATTGAAGAAAACTAGTTAAAAATGACTTACAATTGATTTGGAGAAGAAAGGTTGTTTGAAAAATCGCTTCTTATGTTTTTGGGGTTTTAAAAAATGAAAAACAACTGAAAATTCCGTCTATTTATACCCCTCTCAGACCCCCTGTGCGGACAGCACAAAATGGACTGCGGTCGCACAGGCCTTCCTGAGGGTACTGCGGTCCAGTGCCCTTTGCGGACCGCACGAAATGGACTGCGCCGCACAGGCCTCCACCGTGCACTGCACAAAGCCGACCGCGGACCGTACTAGCCCCCTTCCGCGGTCGCACACGTTTTTGTGCGGACCGCACTGGCAGGTTCAGAGACCTGCAACTTCTCTGAACCTGCAACAACTGTGTTTTTAGGCCTAAGACATCCCGGAATCTATCTAAAACTCACCCGAGCCCTCGGGGCTCCAAACCAAATATACACAAAATCCTCAAAAATATTTTACGGACTTATTCGCGCAATCAAATCGTCAAAATAACATCATGAACATCAAATTAAATCTCGAGATCAATGAAATTTCCTCAAAATTTCTTTAAACATCAACTTTGCGATTTAAGTCCGGATCACGTCATATGACATCCGTTTTTTACCAAATTCCACAGAAACGTCTTAAATCATATATAAGACCTGTATCGGGCGCCGGAACTAAAATACGGGTCTGATACCATCATGTTCTAAACAAATTTAATTTCAATTTTTCTTAAACAATTTCAGAAAATCATTTCCTTTAAAAATTAATTTGTTGGGCTTGGGACCTCAGAATTCGATTCCGGGCATACGCCCAAGTCCCATATTTTCCTACGGACCCTCCGGGACCGTCAAATCATGGGTCCAGGTCCGTTTATCCAAAACGTTGATCGAAGTCAAATTTATTTATTTTACAGTCAAGTTTATCATTTTTCATAGATTTTACCCATTTAAGTTGTCCGGCTACGCGCCTGGACTATGCACGCAAATCGATGTGACTCTAAATAAGGTTTTCAAGGCCTCGGAAATACAGAATTTAATTTAAAGAAAAGGTCATCACACACTTCTGGTGATTAACAAAATTTAGTTACAATGAGATATACGAAACATAACCATTTTTGGTGGTTGTATATATCTTACTCTACTGGAGTTTAAGTGGATCTAACAATGTTATCCACTTTGTAATCCTATATTAAAATAATTAGAATGAAAACAAATACCAAAATAGGTATTGTATACATAACATATAACCAAGTAGGCGATGATAAAAAATATTAAAATATAAACAAAAGGCTCAAATTAAATTACGCAAATCTGACCACTCCAGATGTAAGTGATATTTACATCACTACTATCAAGAAGAAAAACGCATCATCTTAAAGATATAATCAGCCTTATAATATTTGGAATGAACAAGATCTAACCACGAACGTAACAGCGTCGCATTACATCAGAAATGAACACTTTTCGAGAAAGCACGCGTTCTGAATGCCTCCTCTGTCGGCAAGAGAGAGAGAATGTGATGGAAAAGAGAATCCGGCAACTCACTGATTCGATCTACAGTTGTTGAATCGTTGGAAGCCATCTTTGGTTTTTTTGATAATTTTCCAGGCTTCAAATCCAAATAATACAGTAGCCCCTTGTCATACTTTCCCTACTAATACATCAGCCTTTTTCCCGTTTTCACTTTCTTGAAATTCAAGTTTCTCTGGAATTTCTTCAATATAATACGAAGACCCAATTTCAAATTCCCGAAATTTTGGGGCCACGTAACAATTCTTTTCACTTACTTGATAACATGTTATAAAATAAAGATTGTAAAGTAAAGACAGATATAAAGAGAAACTGATATATTATTCGAGTTCAAATGAATCTACATAATGAATTGAAATATACTCTATTTATAGAAAAAAGAAAGTTGTTGTGTAAGCTGTTACTACAAGCTGCTGTGTAAACTGCTATTGTACAGATATAAATAATCTTCTACCGAGGGTAATGTTTATCTATAATGGAGTACCGAAAGGATAAGCTTCTACCGAAAGTATAAGCTTTTTCACGAGGCTTATTTCCAATAAAATACTAAATAGATAAACATATTTACGACGGAGTCCCGTTATTTACAACGGAGTACTAAATAAACATCCATAATATACATATTTATAACACTTGTCACATAAATTAAATTACTTATTGTTATCAAAGGGACGCCCGTCTTAATTATCATGAAAAAGACCAAGAAGTAAGGTTTAAGATGGAATGGACAAGTTCAATTTGCCAAGAAGCAACCGCACAATTTTCTTCTTATAATCATCGGATATCTGAAATTCACTAATCCGATTAATTTAAATTCGCGTCGTATATATCCCATTTAAGGGGAAGAGCTCTCTATCAGTTGCGATTTCTCTATTCTTAAAGTTCCAACGTGTCTAATTAAGGGTTAGAGCAGGGGCTGTCCAAGGGTCAAGCCACTAAAGCACGGGCTTTAGGCCCCCAAATTTTAGGGGCCCCAAATTTTATTTTATTTTTTTATTTGTATTTGTATTGAGACCCTCTGAATTCGTATCGCATAAGGCCTAATAAAAGAGAAAATATATTTTAAGAGGAGTAGTTTTTTAACCACATGGCTCGAACCCAATATATCTAATTTAAGGTAAGTTGGGTCATATACATCTCACAACAATCTTTAAAGATAAGGTCTAATATAATAGTTACTTTAAAATAAGAAAGTAAAATATTTTATAAAAGGTAAAGATAACTTTTAATTTAGTATTGATGTAACCGTTTGAGCACAAATTGAAAAAAGAGAATCACTCCCCCTAAACCCTTGTCATGAATATAAAAAATTTTATTATTTAAATTTTACGATTGACATCATTAGTGATGTACCTATATTATTTTTCTCCTTTTACATTTCTCACTAAAAACGTGTAATAAACATTTAGAATCCATTTGTTGTTATCTTCAATAGTTCAAGTCTTATTTTTTATCATTCTCATCAGAAAACGGGTACTACATTCTTATATTCTCTTTCTTGGTTTCTCAAAAAAAAAATTAAGTTTCGATAAGTTATATTGTTCTCAAAGAAAAGAGTGTTATTTTTTTCTATAAAAAACAATAGTTGAAGAGTAGTGTTGAATAAAACCATATTGTGCATTCTTTTTTTTTTTGTTCCTCTTTTTCCTTCAAGTTTCAAACTTTACAACAAGTATATTAGAGCATCGAAAATTATTTCGATATCAAGTTATTAAATTCTTGAATCTGGTTCTATTATCTAAGATCAACCAGTGGCGGATCTAGGATTTTATGTTCGTGAGTGCTTAATTTTTCTTAATGTGTAGTAACTACTTAATTTTTTGGTTGGTAGGTGCTTTCTTTTCCTTTTATATCAGATGCCTCAAATTTCTTATATAATTATACTTATTCTATGTAAAGTTTAATGGGTGCTGAAGCACCTAAATTTAGTACGTAGCTCCGCCCCTGAGATCAACAATATCTTAGGAGAGATCAAATGATTTATAAAATAAATTATTAACAACTTTACATCTTAACAAGCTAGAAAAATAGATTTTAATTAAAATATATAGATAATTTTTTTTCCTGAAAGGCACCTGATTAAATAGTGGCTTTAGACCACCATTTTTTTTGAGCCACCCTAGGTTAGAGGAATCTAATCCACCGTATCGTACTTCTTGGTGGTCCATGCACGTACATATCTAATGGCTAAGACATTATTAAACTCAAAATATTTTCCACATAATCTGTTGTTTCATCTAGTAATAATTTTCTTTACGGTACGTGGTCCCAGAAGAAGCCGGTGATCGGAAAAAAAAAAAAGTATTTACATCTTATAGCTGCAAAAGTATATATATATATATATAAATATATCGATTATTATTTTGAGAGTCACTATATACAATGTCATTTTCCCCTAATTTATATTCATAAGATGCATGGGGCTCACTATTAAAGCTCTATAGCCACAAATTCTCTTGCCAAGATAATGACTATTCCAATGTCACAAATATCCATTGGCTTAAAATTTTTTATCTGGATAAGCAAATAGATGACAACCCAATGAACATTCACTATCTCTCTTGCTCTTTTTGTTGCTTTTCCACTTGTACATATAACATTCTAACTAACAAAAATAAAACATTTCTTGTTCAAAGTTCTTACTCAAACACACATACAAGAAATCTATAAACCTTTCCAATGGCTTCCATCACAATGACATCTTCTTTCTTGGGCGGCTCCGTCGTAGCCCGGGCCAAAGCCACCGCCGCCACCCGCGGCGGGGTTGTCATGGTGAAGGCCAGCTCAGAAAATAATGTAGTGATGAACAAGAAGGAAGAGAGCAACAAAAGCGGGAGGAGGGAGTTGTTCTTCGCCGTGGGGGCAGCCGCCGCTTGCTCCGTCGCCAAGGTGGCGATGGCCGACGAGGAAGAGCCGAAGAGGGGAACGGCGGAGGCCAAGAAGAAGTACTCTTCAGTTTGTGTTACAAATCCAACTGCAAGAATTTGCCGCTACTGATAAAGTTAGAGGGAAGTTTATAAATTACAATATGCATGTTCTTTTGTAATACATTATGGATGTAAAAACCTGTTCTTTCATGTGATTTAATATTTTACTTTTCACGGATCATAGAAAATATTTGCAAAATTACGTTACTTATAAGGTAACAAGGTAAATCCGTAGGATCAGGCATTAATTAATTGGACAAATTGAATAACATACCAGATGTTCTTTTTTAATCTTTTGCCATAATACATCATTACAATAAACAAAAGCTATGAATTGAATTTAGATCCTATTAGCACCCAAAAAAAGTTATGTCGCTAAATCCTTAAGTACAAGGATATTATGGATTGAAATCCGTGGCTAATCCGTTTTATTATAGACTTTTCCATTTTAGCGTATGCCATTAATTTAACTAGTCTTGCAAGATTTACAAGATGACCACACTTCTTATGCAAGATATATTTTTAACTAATCAATTTACTCAAACTATACACTCTCTCCACCTTAATTGTTATCCGTTTTTTAGAGTTAAATTGATGTTTGAACTTTGTCCTGTGTGAAATTGGATAGTAGCAAGTCAGTCAATATATTACCTATTAGGAAAATACCTCGAGTTGAGTATGCTACTGGCAAAAAATGAGACAATTCACACTCAAATATGCAATCATGAACAACTGAATGGTGAAGAGGACCACATTTTTATCAATTTAATTCTCTAGAGTCATCTGGAGAAAACAAAGAACCAAAGCAACATAAGTTCATTTGACACCACAAATTTTGTGGATAAGGTTTTGGATCCAATTGGATGATACCCTCATAGCATTACCCCTCGTCACATTTAAATCTTAACCAAAAGACAAACTTTGGATCTCTGAAAGAAAATTAAAACCTTCCAACAATGGCTTCTCTACCAAGTTCATCCTCATTCCTTGGCAACTTAGCCACCACCATATCCAACCCGCCTCCGGCGACCACTCGGGGAAAGATTGTGATGGTTAAAGCCTCTAAGATTGAGAAGACTGAGATAAACAGAAAGGAAGAGATTAGCAGTGGCAGGAGAGAATTGGCTTTTGCGTTGCTAGCTTCTGCTGCTGCAAGTTCATTTGCAAGAATTGCCATGGCAGAGGAGGAGCCGAAGCGCGGTACACCAGAGGCAAAGAAGAAGTATGCCCCAATTTGTGTCACAATGCCCACAGCTAGAATATGCCACAAGTAAGAATTTTCATGTGCTATGATGTATGCAGAACTTAGCAGTACAAATAAATAATAAGAGTGACTATTTCACTATTGCTTCAATCATGTAAATGTGAAATTTCCAATTTCAAGGTTCACATCATGACCACAAAAGTGCTTGGCAATCTGTACATGTCAAAGTAGAAAGTAGAATCGAACACCACCACTTTAGTTGGTCTTTTTCTTTCTTATGAGAGGTGCTATGATGTCAAAATCTGTAGAAAAGAGCTCAATCTAGTGTAATGTGTTACAAAGAGCTATTCATTACGTTTACAACCAGCTAACTATCTCAAAAAAACAAGCATATACCATATGAAAATTGATACATTCAGAGCAATTCCATTGTGTCAAAGCAAAGTACAATGGACGAGGTAGGTGGTATGGGAGTGGGGAGGTGAAATACTGCTCTGGCCCTCTGGCAGCATCAGTAAACTAAGTGGAAATCCTAATCCTATGTGCTTTATTCCCCAAAGCAGGGGCAGGGAAGAACAGTTTTGACACATCAAAAAGGTCCTAATGTAAACAGCAAACATGAATAAATCAAGGAGCAGACAGACTAACTCGAAACAACACCTTTAAAAACACAGCAAATTTGGACATGTACAGGAGGTTTAAAAGACAATCCTCTAAAAAAATCAAGAGAAAAAACAGACCATTGTAAGATCTTGTTTACTCTTCAAATAGAAACGAAAAATGAACAAGGAAAAGAAACTGCAGGGTACTGTTGGTCTACAAGTGAAGTACTACAAAGCTTGCAGAATATACGTCAAAATTCTCCACTTGTTTCAACTGTTACCAATAGATAACAGGCTAAAGACATGGGCACCAGTTATACCTCCTTGCTCAATCTTGCTATTTTGCAACAGGAAAGACATGGTCAGTCCATACTTTTCCCATTTTGCTGGGAAGCAACATAATTGCGCACCACTTCAATTGCTAATTGATGGGCATTTTTATCTTGGATGCTTGCAAGTGCATCCATGGCTTCGTAAGTCTCTCTATCAGCAAATAGCTTCAAGTTATATCGAGATGATGACTCAGGGATGCCTTCCCATTTTTCAACAAACTCCCCAAGTTTCTCAAATCCCTGGAATAAAATTATAATCCATAAGATAAGAATATTATATGATTCAGATTCCCCATTCAAAGAATACAGAATGAAAGAAAAATGGTGTTTCCTGTTTCGATCAGATTTCTTTTTTACAAATACAATGTTATCTACTAAACGAAATGTTCCTTACCATGCGGTTTGTGAAGTCGCCAAATGATTCTTTAGATTGTCGCTTTCTTCTCCAATGGAAAAATAAAGGCTCCAGAACTTTTTCAAGATCCTGAACCTTAACCTTATCCTTGAAAGTTTTTGCCAATGAAGTTTGATTGGGAGTTCCACCGAGCCAGATCTAAAACAAACACATTATAAGTTTCATTAGCGCTCGGGTTTAGACAATCTAGGTCACCATAACCATAGATGCTAAACTACAGCAACAACACAATAGATCTCAACGAAGTTTGAATTTCAACTACCTGATAGCTGTTTGGACCATCTCCAACCAAGCCAAGTTCAGCCATGTATGGTCGAGCACACCCATTAGGACATCCTGTTATCCTTATGACAACAGATTCACTGTACTTCAGACCAACCTGGAACCACGAAGGTCAATCTCATTCAATATACACCAGCAACCGATTGTACAACTAATAATTTAGAAAGGGCAATACTTCATACCCTTTCAAAAATAGCTCGAACACGCTTGAGGATGTCAGGTATTCCACGCTCAGCTTCAGTTATTGCAAGAGGACAAAGAGGAAAAGCCGGGCAGGCCATTGCTGTTAGATTGAGTGGATCCACATACCTAGGTTGCTTTTCAAGAAAAAATAATAAAGATTACCCAAGAAGAAGACCATAATGAAATGCCAAAAACAAAAACTTCAGTGCATAGGACCATCAGGAAAAGTGAGCAACTCTCTATTTTCTGTATTCTAGAAGTTTTTATTAAGGAAAACTAGAGGAAATTCGCATCAGCTCCCTGGTTCACCTAGCCCTCCTAATAAAACATATATGCCACTTCATTCACATTAAGAAACAGCAGCTCAAATTTTCGAAACTCCTGTATAGGTAAATATATGCGAGTAACAAACCCGCAAGTACAAACTTTGCAAAATTTCAGTAGTATGTGTACCGTAAAGTAATAACATTCAGTTGACACTCGTCCTCCGAACCCCAACCATTCTTTTGGGTCGGAAGTAGTAGTAAAAAGTGAAATGCAAAAATTGGGGGGAGGAGACTATCAGACAACTCCTAGGATTTATTGGAACTCCAGCACTTTTAACAGGTTTATACCTATTTCAGATATTGCATTCCATAAGCACTTTTTTAATTAGACGTACAACCATTTTGTGTATTATGGCATTCCATAATCATGCATACCTTCAAAGACACTGCTATGCAAAACCTGTCTACTTATTGAGAATCTAATAATTCATTCATGGAAAGCATATATGGATCAACTGAATACTTCCTTACCAGCAAACCACCCTGTGCAAGAACTGTGGTGATGGGGCGCTTCCACGCTTGTCGAATATTGCACAATATAATATTCTGGTTTGGTGTGAGACGCACATTCAGATTATACTTCTCAATAACTTCCCTGAGTGCCTTCTTCATCGCTCCTTTTACACGACCATTGTCAACATGTAGACCACAAAACAAGCTACCATCTCCCTGACAAAAGTATTTGAAGAACACAGCAGATATATCAAGGGTAAACACCACAATAACCACTAGTATGGAACTAATTGCCAGAAATGAAAGTTTGATGAGTTTCTACTGCAGACTTACCGCTTCGTGCCATCCCAAATAACTCTTGAATTCCCACTCAGGCAATTCACGGCAAGGTTGAAACTTCTTTCCATAATACTGTTCAGTGACAGATCGAAACTTCTCGATTCCCCATGAGCTGAGTAAATATTTCAATCTGCTGTATCTGCGATCATCTCTTCTGCCGTTTTCTCTTTGAGTAACAACAATGGCTTTAACAGCATAGAGTATATCCTCTTTAGGCACATAACCTAATGGCTCTGCCAATCGAGGAAAAGTGGTTTCCATCCTATGAGTTCGCCCCATACCACCACCAACCTGCAAAAGACGTCAAGGATAACTTACATTAGTCCCCAGAACAAGCAAAGGGAGAAAGAAGAAAGAGCCTAGATTGTCTTCTTACATATATGTTGAATCCCTGAGGCTCTCCATCCTCATTAGATACAACAACAACACCTATATCATTTGTGAAAATGTCCACCGAGTTATCAGTTGGCACGGTAACTGCAATTTTGAACTTCCTTGGCAAGAACTGAGTTCCATAAATGGGTTCAGGTGAGTCAGGGAAGTTTGTTCCATGGGAGTTATCATTTCGAGCTTTCACAACTTCAGGAGGTTCTGCTGTCATAACTTTCTCCCCATCCACCCAAACGTCATAGTAAAATCCAGACTGGGGAGTTAAAAGTGCTGCAATGTTATCAGCTGTTTGTTTAGCAAACATATAATCTTTTTTAGCAAATGGGGCAGCTGGAGCAAGAACGTTCCTATTGAGGTCACCACATGCACCAAGAGTTGAACCCATGTTTTTGATGATTGTACTCATTACTGTCTTGAGATTTTTTTTCAAGACCCCATGCAGCTGAAAGGTCTGTCTTGTTGTCAAACGAAGTGTCCCAATCCCAAATTGGTCAGCAAGATCATCCATGACCAAGTAGAGTCTGTTTGGTACCTCCCCACCAGGGTTCTTTGTCCGAAGCATGAATGAGTATGATCTTCCCCCACGCTCATCTCTGTCGTATTGCATATAGCTTCCATGGAACTTGATCAATTGTGTTGCAGCCTCATTGATGTTGGGGGCATCATTTAGAATCTCCTCATTAAGAGGATACCTTATGAAGTTACTCTGTTCTTTGAATATTTCAACCTTACTACGCTTGGGCTCCACTGCAGCTGGCTTTGCTGGCTGCAAAAGATCAACGGATGTGTTAGGCTTTACAAAGATTAACCATGCACACAGTAAAATGAAAAATGACAGAATTTCTCCAGCATTAGGCTTATGAAACATAAATTGCAGTAGTGGTTTACAAAGTTGTGGTTTTTCCTTCTTATGACACAATCAATAAACAAAAAATTAAAAATAAGCAAAAGGCAAAACGAAATAATTTGAATATCCAGACTTTTTACCTTTTGAATGATTAAAAGTCGAGCCTTTACTAGCAAAAAATATGTAGACTTTACTTTTTATTTTAAAAAAAAAGTTTTTGAATATGTATAATTTACTAGCAAAAAGCAATGTAATTATATTCCAGCTCAGAAAACTGTCAAACTACCTTAGTTAAAAATAAAAAAATAAAAAAATCATGGCATATACAAAAGAAACATGAAAAACAAATCACAGCAATTCAATCAGTTCGTACATAGAGCTGCAAAAAAAAAAAAGGAACCAAAATGATTTTCTAAAAGGTTAAAAGTAAAATTGACAAAAGGTGGCGGAAATTGCTTGAAATTTAAAAAATTTAAGGGGACAAGGACAATAGTCAAATTACCTTGGATTTTAAAAAAGAAAAAAACTCAAAAAATGCATGGAATACGAAAATCGAAACAAATTCACCAAAAAAACACATCGACACTTCAATCAATAGGCAACAAAAAACATTTCATTAAAAATTAAATTAAAGCATCAGGAAAAGTAAATTAAAATGGACAAAAGTAAGCTTTTTTTATACCGTAGATACGGCGCGGACAATAGAACTAGGATTCGACGGGGAAAAGGACTGAAAAACGTGAAGACGCCTGCTAAGCAACAGCGAATTGGAGGTGCTTTTTAACCCGAAGAAGTTGTGAATTTGGAGCTTGGGGTTCGGGTCATCGGCGACGGCGATGTTAATCGCTGCTCCAAACGACATCGTCATCCTTACCCCTAGCGAATAACAAATAGATAAATAAAGCTAGGGTTTTTACGAACAGAGAAATTTGTGAAAATGGCGGAGAGAGTGTATTACAGATATATTTGAGGGAGTGGGTGAAAGGGAATATTTGGGTGGTGAAGAAGGAGGGCGGAGGATTGATGGCTTTCTTTAGTGCTTCGTCACGTGCCTAGCACGAGACAGTATCTTTTGCCTCTTCACGCGCCGATAATTGGTCTCAATTAAT